CCACTATCATATTCTATACATGCCATTATCTACCACCAACACCACTATCATATTCTATACATGCCATTATCTACCACCAACACCACTATCATATTCTATACATGCCATTATCTACCACCAACACCACTATCATATTCTATACATGCCATTATCTACCACCAACACCACTATCATATTCTATACATGCCATTATCTACCACCAACACCACTATCATATTCTATACATGCCATTATCTACCACCAACACCACTATCATATTCTATACATGCCATTATCTACCACCAACACCACTATCATATTCTATACATGCCATTATCTACCACCAACACCACTATCATATTCTATACATGCCATTATCTACCACCAACACCACTATCATATTCTATACATGCCATTATCTACCACCAACACCACTATCATATTCTATACATGCCATTATCTACCACCAACACCACTATCATATTCTATACATGCCATTATCTACCACCAACACCACTATCATATTCTATACATGCCATTATCTACCACCAACACCACTATCATATTCTATACATGCCATTATCTACCACCAACACCACTATCATATTCTATACATGCCATTATCTACCACCAACACCACTATCATATTCTATACATGCCATTATCTACCACCAACACCACTATCATATTCTATACATGCCATTATCTACCACCAACACCACTATCATATTCTATACATGCCATTATCTACCACCAACACCACTATCATATTCTATACATGCCATTATCTACCACCAACACCACTATCATATTCTATACATGCCATTATCTACCACCAACACCACTATCATATTCTATACATGCCATTATCTACCACCAACACCACTATCATATTCTATACATGCCATTATCTACCACCAACACCACTATCATATTCTATACATGCCATTATCTACCACCAACACCACTATCATATTCTATACATGCCATTATCTACCACCAACACCACTATCATATTCTATACATGCCATTATCTACCACCAACACCACTATCATATTCTATACATGCCATTATCTACCACCAACACCACTATCATATTCTATACATGCCATTATCTACCACCAACACCACTATCATATTCTATACATGCCATTATCTACCACCAACACCACTATCATATTCTATACATGCCATTATCTACCACCAACACCACTATCATATTCTATACATGCCATTATCTACCACCAACACCACTATCATATTCTATACATGCCATTATCTACCACCAACACCACTATCATATTCTATACATGCCATTATCTACCACCAACACCACTATCATATTCTATACATGCCATTATCTACCACCAACACCACTATCATATTCTATACATGCCATTATCTACCACCAACACCACTATCATATTCTATACATGCCATTATCTACCACCAACACCACTATCATATTCTATACATGCCATTATCTACCACCAACACCACTATCATATTCTATACATGCCATTATCTACCACCAACACCACTATCATATTCTATACATGCCATTATCTACCACCAACACCACTATCATATTCTATACATGCCATTATCTACCACCAACACCACTATCATATTCTATACATGCCATTATCTACCACCAACACCACTATCATATTCTATACATGCCATTATCTACCACCAACACCACTATCATATTCTATACATGCCATTATCTACCACCAACACCACTATCATATTCTATACATGCCATTATCTACCACCAACACCACTATCATATTCTATACATGCCATTATCTACCACCAACACCACTATCATATTCTATACATGCCATTATCTACCACCAACACCACTATCATATTCTATACATGCCATTATCTACCACCAACACCACTATCATATTCTATACATGCCATTATCTACCACCAACACCACTATCATATTCTATACATGCCATTATCTACCACCAACACCACTATCATATTCTATACATGCCATTATCTACCACCAACACCACTATCATATTCTATACATGCCATTATCTACCACCAACACCACTATCATATTCTATACATGCCATTATCTACCACCAACACCACTATCATATTCTATACATGCCATTATCTACCACCAACACCACTATCATATTCTATACATGCCATTATCTACCACCAACACCACTATCATATTCTATACATGCCATTATCTACCACCAACACCACTATCATATTCTATACATGCCATTATCTACCACCAACACCACTATCATATTCTATACATGCCATTATCTACCACCAACACCACTATCATATTCTATACATGCCATTATCTACCACCAACACCACTATCATATTCTATACATGCCATTATCTACCACCAACACCACTATCATATTCTATACATGCCATTATCTACCACCAACACCACTATCATATTCTATACATGCCATTATCTACCACCAACACCACTATCATATTCTATACATGCCATTATCTACCACCAACACCACTATCATATTCTATACATGCCATTATCTACCACCAACACCACTATCATATTCTATACATGCCATTATCTACCACCAACACCACTATCATATTCTATACATGCCATTATCTACCACCAACACCACTATCATATTCTATACATGCCATTATCTACCACCAACACCACTATCATATTCTATACATGCCATTATCTACCACCAACACCACTATCATATTCTATACATGCCATTATCTACCACCAACACCACTATCATATTCTATACATGCCATTATCTACCACCAACACCACTATCATATTCTATACATGCCATTATCTACCACCAACACCACTATCATATTCTATACATGCCATTATCTACCACCAACACCACTATCATATTCTATACATGCCATTATCTACCACCAACACCACTATCATATTCTATACATGCCATTATCTACCACCAACACCACTATCATATTCTATACATGCCATTATCTACCACCAACACCACTATCATATTCTATACATGCCATTATCTACCACCAACACCACTATCATATTCTATACATGCCATTATCTACCACCAACACCACTATCATATTCTATACATGCCATTATCTACCACCAACACCACTATCATATTCTATACATGCCATTATCTACCACCAACACCACTATCATATTCTATACATGCCATTATCTACCACCAACACCACTATCATATTCTATACATGCCATTATCTACCACCAACACCACTATCATATTCTATACATGCCATTATCTACCACCAACACCACTATCATATTCTATACATGCCATTATCTACCACCAACACCACTATCATATTCTATACATGCCATTATCTACCACCAACACCACTATCATATTCTATACATGCCATTATCTACCACCAACACCACTATCATATTCTATACATGCCATTATCTACCACCAACACCACTATCATATTCTATACATGCCATTATCTACCACCAACACCACTATCATATTCTATACATGTCACTATCTACCACCAACACCACTATCATATTCTATACATGTCACTATCTACCACCAACACCACTATCATATTCTATACATGTCACTATCTACCACCAACACCACTATCATATTCTATACATGTCACTATCTACCACCAACACCACTATCATATTCTATACATGTCACTATCTACCACCAACACCACTATCATATTCTATACATGTCACTATCTACCACCAACACCACTATCATATTCTATACATGTCACTATCTACCACCAACACCACTATCATATTCTATACATGTCACTATCTACCACCAACACCACTATCATATTCTATACATGTCACTATCTACCACCAACACCACTATCATATTCTATACATGTCACTATCTACCACCAACACCACTATCATATTCTATACATGTCACTATCTACCACCAACACCACTATCATATTCTATACATGTCACTATCTACCACCAACACCACTATCATATTCTATACATGTCACTATCTACCACCAACACCACTATCATATTCTATACATGTCACTATCTACCACCAACACCACTATCATATTCTATACATGTCACTATCTACCACCAACACCACTATCATATTCTATACATGTCACTATCTACCACCAACACCACTATCATATTCTATACATGTCACTATCTACCACCAACACCACTATCATATTCTATACATGTCACTATCTACCACCAACACCACTATCATATTCTATACATGTCACTATCTACCACCAACACCACTATCATATTCTATACATGTCACTATCTACCACCAACACCACTATCATATTCTATACATGCCACTATCTACCACCAACACCACTATCATATTCTATACATGCCACTATCTACCACCAACACCACTATCATATTCTATACATGCCACTATCTACCACCAACACCACTATCATATTCTATGCATTAACACAAATTTCCAGCAATATATATATCTTCTCAAGATATTGAAACTCGGATTCATTGTACACAGGCATCACTGAAGTATGAACAATAAATCAATCAATCCACCATGAAAAATCTGAACACAATTTGTGTCAGAACAAAAATCCTGGTAAGAATTGAATATATCTTGTTTATTATGAATAACCTCGGCCTTCTCCTCCCCTTTTGTGCACCATAAGCTAGCATTGACACCTTATCAAGAGCACCATCATTGGCCTTCTCTGGGTTTTCTAAATCTAGACAATTGGTACATCAAATTCTTTGAATGTCATATTACACATCAAGTATTGCTACTCTGTACTATGCCTTGTTAACTTTTCCATGGTCACAAGCAAAGCTTTAAAATAAATGCTGTGTGTTTATAGCTGCATTGAGATAATTTAATCATCTCCAATGAAAAATGGTGGTTGATTCATGTTGTAAGAAAATGATGGCCAAAGATTTAGTGGTAAATATGATCATACTATAGAGACTACATAAAGCTGAACAATATCTTTATCTCATAAGTTTTTTCCCAAGTTATTTAAGGGGTAAGGTATAACAAGAAAAATTAGATATAGCACCTATCATCCATCCTGGCTTGAGCTTCTACATAAGACAATGTTGCACACGACTTGATGACACTTTTTGTGAATCTTGTAGAAATAATCTCCGCTTCAGGTGTCATTTCCTGAAATTCAAATAATATGTCAAAAAAAGGTCCAAAACTTGAATTCACAAATACACACAAACCACCAAGATAGGGAAATAAATATATGTAAACACAAAAACCGATACATAAAAGCATAAATGCCCTTTGGTAGGCATTCCTTTAGCAAGTAATCCGTGATGTGTTTCTAACACTTAAGGGCTCAACTATGAGCCAACATGATGTCAAAAATCGAAATAAAACTCGGAGCCAACACCATTCATTGGTACAACTAAAGGAAGCGTAAAGTGTGAAAACAAGAAAGGAAAAGATGCAACATGTGCAAAAAGTAATTATGGTGAAAAAGATTAATTAACTAAAGCAAAGATGACTAGTTCCACAGTCTTCCTTATCTGTTGATGAATTTATTCAAAAATGCGGAAGAGCAAAGTGTTATCTAATAAGATTCTCATTTCTCACCAAAATAGAGTAAGAAAAGAAAGAATGCAAGTTTAAACTATAGAATTCGACACTGCTCCTAAAAAGCATTCTAAAATCAAAACAGCCCTTTGTTCCAAAAATAGAAAACCTAAATCTCAGGTCAGTTGTTTTTTAACACAAAAATGGACCATAATGATTGGACTAATTGAACACAGGGACCTCTAACATAAGGAAAAAAAATGGCTTCTGTTTTCTAAAGTTTATCAGTATTTAGCAACTGTTTTGACTTTCTTTCCATTCTAGCTTTTTCTCATCTTTTCCCATCTCAGCTCATCCAGATCAGTTGAACAATTTGACTCACAAACCAACAACCTCAATGAGTTGAGCTCCATTTGAATTGGAAATATTTGCATTACAGGCAATATTTTACAGTTTAATAGACTAAACAGTAAAATGGGTGTACTCACAATTAAAAATGGGAGTGGCCACATAACTATAATATATTAATAATTAATAAGGTATGACACCATAATCCACAGATATTGATATTGCAGGTTTGGGTATTGGAGAGAGTATCAAGAACCAGTGTTTTTCAGGTCAATCAGATACATGTGCACTTACAACTCACTAGAAAAACAAAGCTGAATCATAACAACCAGAGATTCAATCATTACCCAGATAACAGAGAATGCTAGTCTCTCCACATCAGCTCGAAGAGCACAAATATCTGCAATATAAAACTTCTATTGAGTGAATTACCCGAGAGCTGCTGTGACAATTAGAAATTTTAAAACTAAGAAACAACTAGCCATAAAATAAATCAGTTGTATGTGCAACCAACAAATTCAACCAAGTTAATGGGAATGAAATATTACCTTCTGTTAAAGGTTTAGGAAGCATGTCAATTCGCCGCTCAACAAGGTAGACTGATGTGCCCCTTTGTGTAGCCTCATCATCAAGAGGGGTTCCAGGGTGCACAAAATTTGTAACATCAGCAATATCTGTTTAAATGTTATTAAGGATTGACAAAAAAGCTCCATGCCTAACTGACAAAAACTGAGAACCACTTTTAGACAATTGGATGTATTAAGACCAACATTAGCCCTAATCTCAGCAAAATATATAAAAAAAATTAAAAATTAAAAATTAAAATAAAAAAGATTCTTGGAAAACATGTAAGATGGCCAACAAAAGAAACTCAAAAGAACAGTAATGAAGTCTGAAGGAAAACAAAAGCCCATTTGAGCTCAACAACAAACAGGGAATAAGCATGTGTACACTGAAGAAACCAAGAAGTGAATCAAACCCAAGGTACACAGTTTTTTACAAGTATTCATGCAAAATAGTCAAGAAGACAACTAGAAAATTACTATTGCACAAAAAAGTAAAGACTAAATTGGAGCCTGGATCATTTGCTTATTATCCATTGGCCTATGGCATATCATATGTGGGTGCTTATTTTTTCTATTTTTGGAGTGGTTTGGGTTCAACAAAGCAGAGGGTGATGGCGGTCCTCTGGAGTTGGGGAGGGGGTCAGGTTGGAAAGCGGCGTCAAAAGGCTTGGTCTATGGCCCCATTGTGTTTAATGTGGCTGATTTGGTTGAAACGCAATTGGCGTACTTTTCAGGGATGGCTCGTTCTCTTTCATGGTTAGAAAATAGGCATTTTGTAGTTTTGTATGGCTGGGTTACAGGTATGGTGGATCTGGATTTGTTTGCTTTTTTGAATTTTTTTTGATGATTTGGTTGGTTAGGTGGTCTCTCCCCTTTGATGGGGCTTTTTTTTTTTTGCGGTATTTTTTAGCATCAGCTTGATGTTAGTAATAAAATTTTATTTATCAAATAAATTAATAAACAAAGACTAAATCATGCATGTATCGAGAATCAGAAGCAAGGATGATGAAAATATAAGACGATCAAAAAAATTACATCTAAAATTAAGCGCTCATCCTACCAATGCAGCAGTGAGAGGTTCACTAGGTAAAGTCTTAAAAACCTAAGTTGCCTAACCTCCACACTATTTACATGAAGTGTATGCCCTCAAACCAATGCTCAAACTTCATAGTAAAAGCTTAAAACATTGCAACAACAAAAAAATTCCCCTCTTAATGAATTTTCAATAAATATTATAGGTATTTGTGCCCTACATACATGCCACGTCATCACTTAAGAGGGGTTGGATCATCACAAGGCATGAGACTCACATTCTCACCTAGTCGCAGTGCGTCACTTCATGGCCTCGCCTTGCCTCAACGCCTCTCCTAGCCTCAGCACCTTCCCTAGCCTCGCCTTGGCTCAAGAATGTCACCCAGAGCTACACAGCTTACCTAGGTAGGGAGTAGGGCCTATGGATCCCTCAGTGCCTCAGCCATGAGACACCCGAGTGACCCATGGCTCCATGCTGGATTACCACGAACCTGTAGATTGGTAGTTAAAGTTGAGGGATTAGCAAAATTGCTCAGTCCACCCTCTCGAGGTGGCTCCACTTTCACCTGTCTTAGACAAGAAAGAGAGACCTATTTGACTAAGGCATATGATACCTCGAAAGGCGTATGACACCAAACTTTGCCACCCCTTGGCATAACTCTAAAGGATGAGTTGGCCTCCATGGCCCACCTATCCTACAAAAGGTCTCCATCGCATACATGGACACACACACTCATGTGACAACTCAAAAGGCATACCACACCTACATTTGCCACTCCTTGGCATGACCCTCAAGGATGAGCTGGCCTCCATGGCCCAACTATCCTATAAAAGGTCTACATCCCCATATGTAGACATACAGAGACACCCTTGAGGAGAGCTCCCTCTCCTACATATCAAGAAACAAATTGGTAATTAGCAAGATAGGCAATAGTTCAACCAAATTAGTAACAAGCAAGATTTGTTTTTTCTAAGTAATTAGGAAGATAGATGATAGTTTCCACTAATAGGCGAATCTTCAACATAAATAAGCTTTCAAAGCCAAAAAACAGACTTGAAACATAAACTTCTCCTCCAAGATCATTCTCCCTCGTGTCAGAAGTTCCCTCTTGTCACATATAATAAATTTTGCTGTCATGGTTTTGATATTTTTCGTGCTATTAGCTTCCATTAATGAGTTTCACTAATTTCCATGATATTTATAAGGTCAACATACGTGGAAGAACCAAAAGGTCAAAGGATACGAACTCCAACTTCAAAATTTCCATTTGGTAGAGCTGTACAATGTAATGCATCATCAATATCCGTGCATCCTGCAGACACAGAAACATAATTATTTGTACAGAGTTTGGTATCTGTCTACACTAAAAAGAATACTATCTGGCCTCATGAAAAACTAAAAGGGTATTAAAACTAAAAGGGTATTAAGAAAGAAAAGGTCTGATAAATCTATAGATCACATACCTGGAGGATCCACGCTAAAGACACGTATACGACGCAAATCCTGCCTAATAGGATTTGCCAGATCTTCAAAAGACACAGACCAAGGTAATGGTGGCAAACATGACAAAACTTGAGAAGTAAATGGTCTTGAATCTATATCATTCTCTGTCAACACTACCTACAGCACCCACATAATTGATTACTACATAATCCATAATCTTAAACTGATTCATCAAACTTCATACAGAGTTCCTAAACATAATTGATTACTAAATAATCTTAAACTGATTCATCAAACTTCAGACAGATTTCCTAAACACAATAACGTAAGTGTGAAGAAAAAGATTATGGTTATTGAAAGAAGAAACAGATAAATGTCCAACAGGGAAGCAAATGACCTTGGCCTTAACCCACTCACCCCAAAAAAATAAATAAATAAACTGACAGAAAGCCATTACGGCATACCTCACTTTCAGTTTCCCTGTCACCGATTACACCTATTGTTCGTACATAATGCCCAGAAGGATATCGAGATAAAAGATCCCAAGAATCAACGGCAACAATAATTCTTTTGTCCAGAAGATTTTCAAGCTGTCGAGTTTGAATCCGTATCTTTGGAAATCTGCGATCTTTAGAGACAAATAAAGCATGGGCAACGCCACCAGTGCCTGCGGGCATAGGCATTGGCTCCAAAGATCCACAATATCTGCATGATATTTTGTAAAATTAAATAACTTCATCCATTTCCAGAAAAGCCAAGGAACACAAGTAACTCTAGCCACAATAATGGCTAAATTCTAGAAGAAAAATATATGCATTATAAAACTAATAATAAAGAGAACAAAAAAAATTTATTTATTTATTTTTTGTTTTGAGCAACAATAATATAGAAAATATAACTATTGTCACCATGAAAACAGCAACGAAGACAAGCAAGCAAGAAAACTATGCATCAAGCCTTAAATATTTTTATAAGCACATCAAGCTTGAAATAATTTTGACAAGCTCACCAAGCCTGAAATATATGGTATACAAAGGCAGTAAGGGAGTTATGAACCTTATGACTGATATGAAATTTCAAAGAATGGAACTAACACTTTGTTTGTTTTGGCAAAAGATTTCTGGAATGTTTTCGGCATTTTTTGGTGTTTGGTAAGACAAAAACCAAAAATCAACAAAAATACAGCTTATTTGGGCAGAAAACATTGTTGCCACTACCACCACCACCACCACCACCAACACGCCACCGCCACCATTAGTACCACAATTTTGGAGTCACAAACAAACGTAGAAAAATGTTTTCTACACAGAAAACATTTTCTGAAGGTGGTGTTTGGTAACATTGCCATTCAATGTTTTCTATTTACATAAAACAAGAAACACGTAATGAAAAAATTTCAGGTAGAAACACAAACCATAAACTGCCTAAAGAGATTTCTAACAAATGCCCCATCGCCAAGGTGGAAACATTCTCATAAGCAGCAAATGCAAATGACGTTATGAGATGTTTTAGCATCAGTTATTGTGTTTTTAAGGGAAGTTGAAATCAGGGAAGATTAGCATGAGCAGTCAACTGCCTGGTAGACTACCAAAAAGCCTTCTTTAAAGTATTTTTCCAGGCTTAAGTTAAGAGGAAAGTCTTTCAATTAGTGAATACATTTTACTAAATGAAAAGGGAAAAAGCAAACAACATGTCAAAAGATAACTTAACCAACCCCCAGCCTCGTGAAGAAAGCGTAATCGCATATATCAAGTAAGCAAGCCATTTAACTTACGAGTGCGAGTTCCGTTTTATGATACCAACAATACGGCCAGATGGACGAGAAAATACAGTATTTGCACCACCCGCAGAACCTTGTGCTGGATTTGGAACTCTAGGAGCATCATCAGCACTGCTTGGAACTAGATGAACATCTTCTTCTTCCTCATCCTCTGGAAGAGAGTTAAGTTAATGGAAAGTATAATATTTTAAAGCAAGCCTGGCTCCTAATTCACACACATGCAAGCACAAAACACTCTGTCTATGACCAAATTACATCAACCTATGTTTGGATGGCACGAATCAAAGAGAAGGAACGAGAATCTCATTACTATTAATAAAATTACTGTATCAATGTTATTCAAACGCTTGGTTTAGTTAGGAATTCCCTTATTGCAGGCCCATCTACTTTTTTCACTCTTAAATGGTTTTATATTCCTCCAGAAATGTGAGATTACGATAGGAGAATGGGGATCAGATTTTTGATTAGTTTGGAAAGTGATTTCAGCTTGAGTAGGTAATCAGGAATTGTCTTCCCATTCCAAAAAGTGGAATATGATTCCACTTTTTGGCTTAAGACTAGCACATAATTTTTGAATCAAAGAGCAGACACAAACCCACCAGGCCATCTGAATTTGATGGGGTCAGAGGAAGAGAAAAGGTAGGAATAGCCTTCCTCTATTAAAACAGGACATTCATTTTTAACCCCCCCCCCAAAAAAAAAAAAAATGGAAAAAAAATTAAAGAAGAATAGAGGAGGGTGGGGAGAATCAAACATATATCTCATACCCTTATCTAGGTATCAAGTGTCTGGCACAGGTATTTGATTTATTTTGAAGAGCCCACATAACATAGCACAAAGTATACCAGCCAATTCACAATCCAAAATCTCCATGGGCAGTGTATTAAAGGGCTGTTTGGTGCAGCTTTTCTGAGTTGCTTATAGCTTTTATGCAAACTGTTGGTATAGCTTTTGGTTATAACTTATTAGGCAGAAATAGCTTTAATAAGCTGAAAAAAAGTTTATTTCTAGAGCTGAGTAAGGGGTGCTTTTGGCTTCTACTTTTGGATTATCAGTTTTTATTTTACAATAAACAGAACCTAAGAACCATATTGTAGGTAAAAAAAAATTTCCAGGAAATGTAATTTCATTGAAAGTATAATTGCATACATACAGGAATGGATAAGCATGGTATGATCATACTTAGGAGGACATTTGATGGTATGGAGGTTCCCTTGTATAGATTGAAGAGTATTCTTAGTTTTTTGAAATTTCATAACTTTCCTACCTTTTCGAATGAAGGTTCAATTACTTAACCCAAAAAAAAAAATGGTATGATCATGGGTTCATGGCTGCATCTTTTATATATCCAATAACCATATGACTGGCACCATCATACCTTCATCAGCTATGGACAATGACTTCTGTTCATGCCATTGATCTTGAGGCAAAAGTTCCACTGCCACTATATCACCATCGAAAGCCCTATTCATGTTTACACGCCCATATATGATTATCTCATCACCAATGCTCTCACTTCCTACATATGCTTCAAAAGGATTGTAACGATTAACACGAAGTTTCCCTCGATGGAAAATACCACAATGCAAGCCAGCAGTAATCTCTGACATGGGTTTATGCTGCACAAAGGGGAGAGCAGGAAAAAAAATTGTAAACTGCCTGAGCATAATTCATGACCACAATATAGTCAATAACACATGTTACATGATATAAAATCATCAGTTGTAAACATGCATTTGCAGCCAAGATTACCTCAGTATAAAGTATTTTCCTCTTTGAAGGTCTCAGATCTTCAACTTCCTCCATGCCTACATCTTCTGAATGAGGCTGAACAAGCAGGTCAAGCAATCCAGGTTGACCAAGTGATTTCACAAATGATTCAACTGAAATAAAAAGAAACTTCATTAGTCTGCCTTGTCCATATAAGATGTCCATTGAGTTCATACCATAATCGACATGTTAACAACAATATAACAGAAGTATTACCCATTACAGATGTGCATGAACTGCTAGACAGCTTAAAAAAAGTTAGTTATGTTGTTTAATCTACCTGTCTCTGCAGAAATTCCCTCTTCAGTGGCCTTCCTCTTGTTCTCCCTGTCATTTGTGATTAGTAAGACCCTAGTTGCATCACCAAGATGATTTTTATACCACTGCGCTGCCACCCAAATAGCTGAAACAACGATTTCTTCAATGTCAGGAAATGGAAATCCACAAACGCATGTCATTGCACTAGGAATGAAAATAACCACCAGAATACAGAAAACTGCTCTTGTACGTAAGTGTATACATAGAAAATCTAAGGCTCATATTTCCAATACTAAAATTTCCCTGTTACACTGACACCACACCATGCTATGTAAGTCCACCCTAAAGTATGCCTGCAAGATCAAGTACGCGCAGGTACGAGTATGTGTGTGTATAATAAAGCACAATTTCTGTATTTTCTTACATAACCAACCTGTTTATCTTCAGCCTCACAATTGAATTCCGGGCATTAGGATGGAGCAAAAGACGTGAAATTCTTACTTTGAAGAGGCCTTTTCAAATATTGAAAAAATAAATTCTTTTAACATGACTATTCAATGCATATCATGTCTTCTTAGAGGCGCCAGCATTGATAATAAGATCCAAGTGTATGAAGTAATCTACATTTTCTGCAACATTTGCACTGTCTTCTTAAATATATCGATAATTAACAGCATTGTCAGGTCCGCAGAGAGTCAGAGACTGGGAATTGTTACTTTACCAATATAGAACTCAGCAAAGCCTTTTCATAACTTTTTGGCTGATAGAGACGTGTTTCAGTTCATGGGGATATCCAGAAAACAGAGCAATAAGTTCAGAATGTATAATCAATGATTAATGGATCACTACTCCCACAAGGTGATTGTGTTACGTGAAAAGGAAATTTTATAGTGAATATGAGAGTCTAGACACCGAGTACCATCACTGTCATAGCATTGTAACTGGTAGTCATTAAAAATGAATCCAACAAACAAAACATTAGCATAAAGCAAAGAAAAAACCTCTATCATTCCGATCATTTGGACTTTCACCGACCATGGCCTTCACATATGTATCCCTTCAAGAAAAATAAACAACGCACCAAGAATTAGAAGGAGTTTAGTTTGATCTCTTTGTTTCAATACTACTACAGTTGCTGCGGCTTCTACAACTGAATAAATTAAAATAAGGCCAGGCATGAAGTAACGACCATCGGAAACAGGGGCTTAAAAAAAGTAAACTACACTTTTACATAGTAGTCTAAACACTCTGATTGAGTATAAATAAATAACCATATTAATTATTTTAAAAAATGATGAATGGCCTAGCATCCAATGAGTTTATCCAACAAATGGTATAACTCAGACATGATGAAAACAAAAGAGAACCTACCTGTGATATTCATTAGAGAACACAAAGAACTTCCTTGTAGAATTGCTGCAGAGGGCTCTGATTCTATTATAAACCGAGAGGTTCTTGTTCTTCACCTCTTCCAACACCACTGACAATATGACAACATCATCAATTGCCGGATTCTCAAGCAAGTCAATCTGAGGAACACATGCATTCAAAACCAAATCAAAATTTCAATTACCAACAAAAATAAATATTGATATGTACCATTTTAAAAGTAAACTAAATAAAGAAGAATACGTGAAGAAAAGATACAGAGAAGTCCCACTTTGAGAGGGAAAGACCTCCTATTGGTTCTATTTGAGATGAACAAACCCCCAAAACTTCAAAGGAAGCGATTTCAAAATATTCCAGCCTCCTTCATTGATTGATAACGTATTTTAACACAAACCTACAAGACCCACTAACATTACAACACATAAAACCCTAACTGTTAATCTTAATTACTATTTAACTGCTAGTAACCATAATTTATACAGTCTTCCTGAAACACCATGTGGTTATGTGCCCGACCAACGGTGTTTCTTGATTTTCCCCAACTATTTTTATTTTTTTGATCCATGTAAATACGTAGTCCCTTGCTATTGGACGGGCACACTGTCAAAGTGGTGATCATGGAAGACTAGATAATTACTCGCCAATAACCACCAAAATGAAATTGAAAACAATTGCATGCGTATCATCTACACTATATATAAGGATGAACACCATTTTGGTGTTCCCCCCTTTGAAAGAGGTGTTAATATGTTCTCTACCAAAATTGTCTTAAGAAAATTCACTAATATACTATTTAAAGTGCCTTCCTAAGAAGTACAGATATGGACATGTGACATGACATAAATATGATACGAACACGACAACATGACAATTTTCAAAATCTGTAGGGGACACAAAAAATATATTTATTATATCTCATAGATAAAAATGCAATCTAACACGAACTCCTACACATTTACATTTTTTTTTTTTTTTTTTGGTTATTATATGCCAAGTCACATACATTTAAGTGATGGACACATGTGTTGTCCAAGCGTCCAATTCTTCTTTTCTTTTTTTTAGATAGTACACGTTTTGACGAGTGTCGGTGTCTAACACAAACACGCCACCTTTCTAAAAAAATGTATGTGCTTCTTAGGTGCCTTCTATATTCATTCACTAAAGGAGCAATATAGAAACGAAATAACTCCAATGTTTAGCAATTCCTAGCAACTATCCTCAACCCTCTCTCTCAACAGCTTCGATTGTGATATACACTAGACACAGAGTGCACACTACATGCATGCGTCATTATCTTAAATTAGCAGCCTCCCCACTCTCTTCAACCATTTTTCATAATCTCTTAATATATAATGAGCCACTTTTTTCCAAATTCAGATCGAACGATTTGAAGAGGTATAAAATTCTTAATATATCCAAAAATTATTGAGAGAGCATGAAAGTTCTTAAATAAAATCATTAACTTGCAGAGAAAAAAAAATATTAACAGGCTTCAACTTGAGGGGAACAGCAAAATGGTGTTCACCCTTTGTATATTACACTATTTTTATAGCATATTCAATCGTTTTACCACAGAAAGAAACGCAATCATCAATTCGCCAGCAAAGTTGAGCACAAGATGGAAGTTCTTAGGTGTCTCTCAAAATCTTTCCTTTTTTTTTTTTCCCAATGAATTATTATTCCATTGCACACACATACATACACATGTATTAACATAATGTAAGCTGTGAAGAAATCAGAAATCAGAAATCAGAGGCTACCTGATTGAGGACGACGTTGGTGTCAAAAATAAGAATGGTGGGGGCAGAGGAGCTCAAGCGAGCACTTTTAGAATCGCAGACATTGCAAAAAGGGGCTCCGCAGTAGATATCGTCTCTCAGATAGTGTTCTCTAACGACCTGTGTGTGAAAAAGATATCATTTTAAACACTATATAAACTGAACCAATGAAATTGAGAAGGAGAAGAAGATGAAGTAAATTAGGGTTAGGGTTTTAGGAATGGGGGGAACAGACCTTGACAACTTTGCCTTGCTTCGTTTTGCAGACAAAGGACTTGCTCTGCAACATCTTTCTAGACTAATTTGGCTCCGGCGTCGCTTTACCACTCTCCCAATTTCGAAACTTCTGTTGGCCTACCACGGCGAGTATGGGCTATGTATACTTACTTGTATCTGCAGAATTGCCTGTATGCTTATTCCTTCCTTAATTGTCTGGTTATCAGTAATAACAGTAGTTGTACTGCGTTTCGGCGCCGATAACATGTATACGCTTACGCACCTAGTGGTAGCTTCACTGTCTCGGGCTTGATTCTCTCTGGCGCACGGACACAGGCCCATTGTTTTGATGAGCGGGTGTTGAATTATGCGGGTTTCCGGTCGGGTCTGTTGAATCCGGGTTTCAATCAATTCAGGTAAAAGACCATTTTTCCCCGGGGACCGGGGTTGTTCTAATGTAGGATACTCACGTACCATGTAAAATATATTGATAGAGATAAATTGTATGTATTATTGATTGATATATGTTGTTGTTCTGCCTATTACAAAGGGTTCCTTATATAGATGCAGGTGTAGTGGATGGTGGTGGTAGGTGAGTGTAGTAGGTGAGTGTGTGGTAGGTGATGGTAAGTGTGTGGTAAGTGATGGTAAATTTTAACAGTCCCCCGCAAACTTAAGGAGGATAGAAACTAACCAACTTGAGTTTGGAGAGAGGAACAAAACAAGAAAATACATAAAAATAAAAAAAGATAGGAGACACTCTATGGTCGTGTCAGACCGTTGGTGAAGACACTGAAAGGTGGTGCCATAACGTGGTAGAGGACACTGTATGGTGGTGTCATAACGGTGTAGAGGACACTGTATGGTGGTGTCATAACGGTGTAGAGGACACTGTATGGTGGTGTCATAACGGTGTAGAGGACACTGTATGGTGGTGTCATAACGGTGTAGAGGACACTGTATGGTGGTGTCATAACGGTGTAGAGGACACTGTATGGTGGTGTCATAACGGTGTAGAGGACACTGTATGGTGGTGTCATAACGGTGTAGAGGACACTGTATGGTGGTGTCATAACGGTGTAGAGGACACTGTATGGTGGTGTCATAACGGTGTAGAGGACACTGTATGGTGGTGTCATGCTAACCGGAATCAAATGTCGGGACAGTTTATGGGGTCATGTCGGACCGTTGAAAAAGTTGCACCCTCAAAAGGTGTGCCCAATTTTGTCAAAAGGCGTGCCATCAAAAGGCGTGCCCAATCCATAAAAAGACGTGCCAGATATGATGGCGAGGCACGTGAGTGCCTTGGCTGGCGCGCCCGTTTGTCGTCTGTCGGCAAGTGGCGCGCGATGCGCGGATCGGCCCTGGCTATTTAAACCAAGGTTGAGGCGGAGGCTGAGACAAGAAACTGAGAAAAACTTCTGAAAAAACTCTTCGTTTTGCTGAGAGAGATAGGCTGTAACACTCTGTTGCCCAGAAAATGGCTTCGTCGTCCCGTGGGCTGCTCACTCTCTTTCCTGACCTCAACGAGTCAACAAGAGAGACAACTGGTGCGGTGGCACTGGAACCTCAACCAAGCGCCCCGGAGTTTACTCCGTTGAACTTTCCGATGCGGTCTGTGGAGCAAAGAATGGCAGTGCAGTCGGATGTGGAGGCTTTAGTTCATTTTAAGCCGTTTTCATTAGTCTTTGCCATTCCTTAGACGGCGGTCACAAACTTGTCGCACCGGCTGCAGAGTAGGACAAATGAGGTGCAGCAGTTAAATTCCCAGCTGGCTCTGCTCCAACGCATGTATAAGGATGCGCGAGTAGAGATAAGTGTGCTAAAGGCAGAAAACAAGGAACTGAAACGGAAGGCCACTGTGATGTTCCGATTTGGAGGTCCGCCGTATGCTGCAGTAGAGGAGTATGGGGGAGTGAAAGTGCTCGGCGGCGTGGAAAACACGGAGGCAGCACCGTCAAGGGCCGCCCAGGACGGAGGCAAAAAGAAGAGACCGGCGGCAGAGTAGAGAAGGGAAAAATCCCACTGTGGATGTGGTTGTGTTGTTGTTGTTTTTTTTTTTTTTTTTTGTGTAAAATTGTGATCGGGGGGATCCCTGAGAGAAATAAAATATGGGGGTGTGCATACAAAGCGTGCACTGTAAAGCATTACGGGAAAGGGAAGCTTGCAGAGAAAAGGGTCATGTGTGTGTTGTCGGTGGAAGAATAAGAATAATAAGAATAATAAGATATTAAGGACAAAAGCATGTGCCCTGGGTGGGAAAGTGAGAGAGAGAGAAATGCGTTGAGTGCAGTAGTGTTTTCCGAGAGGGAGAGAGAGTAGGTTGAGAGAGCTAAACCTCCCACCACAAATGATCAATTTGGGTCTAAAATCCATTGCTTTCTCTGCCAACTTATCATAATCAATATACCCAGTACTTGAATCCACCTTGTAAGGCAAACTCTCAAAGTAAATCGAGGTGGCAGAGATCTTCTTCCCACCAGAGGTGTAATACCCATGAGTCAAATGACCACCAGAAGGCAAATCCAGGCCCATGATCCGATCATGGGGGTTGAGAACAGCCGTGTAGGCTGCGAAATTGGCGGGACTACCTGAGTATAGTTGAACATTGACAGAGAAAGAGAGAAGCAGCCGAGGCGAGTGAGGTTGCAGGTGGGGGTGGCTCAGTCGCGGAGTTGTGGCTGGAAATAATGGCCAGGCTGGAGGCGACAGACACGAGGTGCGTAGGTCGCGCAAGCTGGTTGGTTGAGCACACAGGACAGATCTCATATACGGTGTTGCCATGTAACCGTGATGGAAGAAGAGGTTCGGTTATGGAATTTGTGGCAGCGGATTCAAGGTATGTATTTGTGATATGTGTTGAAAAACTCCCGCGGGCAGCGAAGGCAAGGTTGCCGGCCGGCTGTCCGGCGGAAAGAAAGGAGTATAGGCCTAAATCTTATAGCTCTGATACCATGTAAAATATATTGATAGAGATAAATTGTATGTATTATTGATTGATATATGTTGTTGTTCTGTCTATTACAAAGGGTTCCTTATATAGATGCAGGTGTAGTGGATGGTGGTAGTAGGTGAGTGTAGTAGGTGAGTGTGTGGTAGGTGATGGTAAGCGTGTGGTAGGTGATGGTAAATTTTAACATACCAATCGAACCTGAAACTTAGAGCCCTAAACTCTGGGTCTCAAGCGATTAGGCTAATCCCTTAAAAATTATAAAAGACCAAGTTTAGGGTTGTTGTTTCCGCCATAAGATCCATTCAAATCAATTGGTCTCTATGTTATAAGAAAAAATTGATGGTACATATTTTTTAGTAGTGTGTACTTAAATATCCAGTTATGATTTTTGTAATTTTGTTGTTATTATTTTTGTAGCGTTAGATATGATTTGACAAAGATTTATTGTAATGTTAGATATAATATTTTGTAATTTTTATTTTGGTTATGATTGAAGAAATTTTTAGTTAATAATCTTACTAACAAGTACCTATAGGATACAAGTAAAAGATAAAACATTTATAGAATACAATTCACTTTTTACTAATTTCAATGTGCTTTTATTAAAATTAATATACTTTTTAACATTTTTACATATTTGCAATATTAAACAATGTCTATAAGACACTTGTTAGTATTTCCCTTTAGTTAATCCTAAAAAATATTTGGTTATGACTCTTAATTCTGATTTGATTATAAGATTGATTATGATCCATCATGATTATTATTTCAATTATGAATATATATATATATATATTATTATATTTTAAGGGTAAGTTTGGAAACTACCTATAGCAATAGTTAAAAAAATCACTAAAAATAAAAAAAGCTAAGAAATTATATGGAAAGGTAAAAAATTATAGATTCTCTTTACGTTGTTTTGTAAAAAAATAAAATAAAATAAAAAATTATCTTAAATATATTAATTTTGTTTTATTTTATATTTTAATTTAAAAAATTTAAAAATTTAAAATAATATATTTCTAAACCCACCCTAAGTAATATTTGATTATAATTTATTATATAAATTTTAATTATAATTGAAAATAATTTAATTTTAGCATTTTGTGATATCAAAATATCGCAAATGACATGGATGTGAATTACTTTATTCTATTGTAGCCGCCTTAAAAGACAAATGGAGGGAAGTGATTGACTATCATTATTGGAAGTAGTGGGTCAAAACAAACGTTTAGTAAAAATATAGGGTGGTAAAAGTAATTAATCCTTGAAAAAACATGTGACCAAACAGCTAGTCACAACCACTGGCCACACCGAAGGGACAGAATGCCTGTTAAAAAAAAGGAAAATGTCTCGTAGCTCAAATTTTGTGGCTCAAAAGTGGCTCAAATGGCCAAAACGACGTCGTTTTGGTCATTTTTATGTTGTTCTGTACTCAAAACGACGTCGTTTTGGCCATTTGAGCCACTTTTGAGCCACAAAATTTGAGCTACGTAGCATTATCGTAAAAAAAAATAAAAAATAAAAAGACGGAATAAAATACATATAAATGACATAATTTATGTCCTCAAAAAAAATGACATAATTTACATGATATAAAACACACGTCTATATAAAAAAATTTAAAAATTATTTGGTTGCTAACATTTTTCAAACCCGAAAATGAGTTGGACTCCATTGAAATGTTGGGGTCTCCTCCCATTGGTTAAAAATTGTTTTTTTTTTTTTTTCTCCATTACCTGCCCCCACGTGGAGGTGGAGGTGCTGGGGGTGCCTCCATACTGGGGGTCGGAATCACGACACTTTCAAACACACCCACCCCCCATGTGAGATGTGTTTGGAGTTTGTGTTGGTAAAATTATTTGATTGCTAAGACCATCTCTAACGATTCACCAAAACTGATATCAAATTCAAATTTTGATAAAAAAACTGCTGTTCACTGCTCTAACGGTTGCACCAAATGAATATCAGATTGAGATTTCATCAAAAAATTTATCAAACTAACGACGAAATACTGATTTCACCAAAACACTGTTGGTGACCGTTGGAGGGAGACCAACCGGTCAACCAGCCGGTTGCCCGGCCGGTTGACCAACCGGTCGACCAGTGAAAGATTCAAACAGTTCAGGAAAAAAGTTCAAACCGTAAAAAAAAAAAAAAAAAAAAATTGCCTAACCGGTCAACCGAAAAAAGTTCAGAAAGTTCAAAACAAAGTTCAGACAATTCGCGAAAAAAAAAAAAAAATTGCCTAACCGGTCAACCGGCCGGTCGACCACCCGGTTGTCCCGGGATAGATTTGGTGAAAGGTGAACTGTTGGAGTGAGTGGTATCAAATTTGGTGAAATGGGTCATTTTTGACTCAGATTTGATGAAAAATTTAAGTCACCGTTGGAGATGCTCTAACATTTTCCAAAAGCTGTCACCTAATTTTCTAACCACAACCTACTTTCGACAAAGTACCAAAAATCTATTTTCTAATTTATATATATATATATATATTCACACAAATCAAAATAATATGAAAGCAATGATTGTTTTTGAACTTTTCATTGGATTTGTTTTCACAAACACAAAAAACAAAAATGAATAAAACGAAAAAAATACCTGTGCTCCTTATGCCAGGATTGATTGGCTAAGCGAATCCCTGATCTTCTAACTGATGGCAATATTTCACCCCCAGAAAGAGATAATTTAAAAATCAACTCGGAAACAAATGATAATAATAATAATAATAATAATAATAATAATAATATTCTTACATACTGTGGGCCATACCCAGTGGTTTAATTCACTTATCAATAACACCGCTATGCTCTGCACAAACAGCTCTATATACAGTGTAAAAAAAGTCATACAAGCGGATTTTTATCTGTTGGCAAAAATTAAGTAATCTTTTAAATTCCAAAAAACAGAAAAAGTAACATCTTTTAGATAAGGGTAAGTTGGAGCTTAGGCCGGTTGGGTTGGGGCTCCACAACCTCCATATGAATCCTCACTGTCTGAAGAACACCATATGAAATGCTACCATCACTCTTCTTAACCTTCTGCTGCTGCTCATCTACCAACCATTCTCCGCCACCTCCTTTATCACCTCTTGCCGTCAAGTAGACAGGCCCCTCAATACCATACCTGCACACAGATTATTTTGGAAAATTTATATATTAAAAATAAAAATTAACATCAGATAGATGATCATCATAAGAAGCGTACATGCTAGCTGGACAGCCACAACAAGGGAAATTTCTTCGGGCGTGTTTTGAACAACATTTCGTGATACGAGACCATTTTGAAAAAAAATTGGGTTACGAGAAAATAGGAGCAATGAAACTGAACAATTATACATTTCATAAGATTACATCATTATACAAATAATGTTTCTGATTATGGTAGGCATTTCCAGGATAATCTGATTGACAGATTGTGCACGCTACTATACAAAACTGGCGAATAAGCAAAATGCATTTAATACATAAAGTAAAAGCATGGGAAGTAAGAGCAAAGATGGGAGCAAAAGCAATATGGCACAGTAGTTCATTTGGGAAGAGAGAATTGAACTGCAAGGGAAGAGAGAATGGAACTGCAAGAGGGCAATAAGACATACTTGGGCACAAAAACAATGAAGCCATTTGATCTTATTTTCACAATTCTGGCCTCCGTGTCCGTGGGCCTGCAAGAGGATAGAAAATTATGAGAGACAGAAAGAGACAGACAGACAGAGCGAGAGAAAGAGAAAGAGAGCATAAAAAGGTCTGTACATGTACCGTTTCCGGAAATAGATGAGAGTATGAACCTCTACTGAGGCCCGGCTCGCCATCTGAGCATTCCTATGCCGATAATTTAAATCTGAAGGGGACACATGAAAACAATTTTTTCTTATATTTCAAAATAACTAAAAAGATAGCATGCTTTAGCTTTAGCAATCCGCATATTGATAAATGTTAATCACAGTGGAAAACGCACCATTTGCATATTTAAAGCATAATAGCATTTGTTTCTATAAAAAAATCATAGTCAGAGATGAGAATATCAATTTATGCAAGTCTGGAATAGACCTAATATCTGAATTGAAAGAGGCTATCAGATGCCAAACTAGTGTTTTTTAAACCATAAGACATGCCCAAAGATAGCCCACTGGCCACTTCAGTGCTATTAAATCATTTCAAGACACCAATCACCAGTCCTATCATCTTGCATTTTAAACATTTGTTGAAACCACCAATATGCTCAGCATGGACGGCAAGATATTTCCCAAATTCAAAAGAGAGTGCAGAAAACCAGGTATATGATTTCATGAAAGGAGACATAAAGATAACACTCGGCAGAGAAGTAATCCTTACTGTCGGCAATACTGGTAAGTTGGGGTCTGTCTTGAAATATGGCTGGAAGCTTGTAGATGCCTAAAGATGCAGCAAGTAACCTGTGTACAACGACATCTGCCAGGAAAGGACATTCAATAATCAAAAGATTCTCTTTTTTTATTTTATTTTTTATCTGCTTTAAGGTAATCACAACAAAACATGACTCACTCACCTGCATATCTCCTAATAGGAGAGGTAAAGTGTGTATAAAGAGGTGCTGAAAGGCCATAATGATAAAATTCTTGGGGACTAAGATCTCCACTACAGAAGTAAACGGCCTGAATTTGTAAAGAATTGGAGAAAAAATCAATGACAAGATAAAAGTTATATAAAGTTTCTTATGCAAAAACAAATTTGAATTCATTAAAATCAGGGAGTAATTACTTGTGTCATGCATCTAGTAGCCAGGATGCGAATGAGCTTATTGAAGTATGGATCATCACCCTGCAACACAATTTCTTAAGAACAAATTTGTGTAGACATAACAAAATTGAACACCGGGTAGATGACAGATTGATCAATAAGAAATAGACATAGATCTCCATGTGTGAATGTGTATGAGAGAGGGAGAGAGGGAGAGAGAGTAGCAGCGAGCAACTAAATAACAAGAAACTAGACACCATACAACCTAGCTACAACCAGTTCTTATATTGAATAATCTCATCTTGACATACTAATGCAAATGTGAACAGTGAGACCTAATAGATAAAAATTTCCACGTGTCCAGCATACATGTCCTAAAATGATAACTCACCACAGCACAATCAAGTGAATCTGCCAATGCTTTGGATGTGGACACATCCAAATGAAGGCCAACAGCAGCAGCCGTACGAAGCAACGGTTCAAGCATCTCCTTGGTTGGACTAGGATGGCGCCTGCAAAATTAATGACCACATGAGCTAAATGCTGCAAAGAGCTTAACACCCAAATTAAGAAAATTTAAATATTAATGAGATTATACATCAGTAACTGAAATCCAACAACTATTATCCACCTAAGTTGGACAAAATACAGAATATAACTTGTCCACCGTACAGAAGTGTGCCAGTTCAGATCTACTTCTACAAATTTCTGCTTCTCGGCAATAAATCATGTTAGAATTTACCATCACCTACCACCAATTTACCATCACCTACCACCACCTACTCCTCACCTACTACACTCACCCTCTCCTATATAATGAGCCACTCACCATTTGTAATATATATCAATATACATCAATCAATAATATATCAATTTTTACATGGTACAAAGGAATAGATGATGGTAAATGTTAGAATTTACCATCACCTACCACCAATTTACCATCACCTACCACCACCTACTCCTCACCTACTCCTCACCTACTACACTCACCCTCTCCTATATAATGAGCCACTCACCATTTGTAATATATATCAATATACATCAATCAATAATATATCAATTTTTTACATGGTATCAGAGCAAGGTTAAGAATTTAGTATTTTCGCTTCACCGGCGGGCGGCAACCTCGCCTTGGCCGCCCGCCGGACCTCAACCTAGTCCGCTCGACTTTTCTAGCTTCACACCTTCCTTAGTAGCAGAAACAAGCTTCTTCCTTCAATTGCCCAACAGCATACTCATCAATGGCGTCCATCATGAAGAGCACTTCATAGTCCTTCTTCTTGAGCCGCTCCAAAAATGGCTATATCTGCAACAAGATAAGCCGAGTAGAAACCAACACCGAATTGACCCCACCCTCCTGGGATGTGGTAGCTTGATGGTGGCGTGGCGCAAGATGCGTCTCTGAAGCTCCTCAACTAAGGGCATCACAGAAGGGTCTCGAGAATTGAGCAAAAGAACTTCCTGAGCTGTGATTATGGCTTTGATGTGCTCGAGATTTATCCCGATGGCCCGTTCGCGACCCAACACCGTGGACGGGTACGACAGAATTGGGTCCAAGATCTGGAGATCTCTGGCGGGCAGACCCATTCGCCGCATGATAGCGTGCTTCCCGGCCTCCTCGACCTGTGCTGCTCTCGCTAGAATGAGCGTAGAGTGTTGAATAACACAGCTTATCAATGGCGTTCCACGACCATCTGTCCCAAGAAATGGTTCTCTAGCACTTCGCCGTCCAACACCTCCGTGCCATGCTCCCTGACCAACTCACCCACTCTCTCTCTCTCTCTCTCACTTTGCACCCACTCTCCCAATACCACCATTATGGCCATTTTCCCACTTTCCTTGTCCCTCCTTTATTTTCACCATCATTTCTTTCAAACTTTTCATCACCTTTATTTTGTTCTCTTCCTAACCCATCTTTTTATATCCACCACATAGACAACCGACTCAAAATAATATATATTATCCCAACTTTCATCATTAACCAAGCCAGACCGTCAGATCTCTGCCTCTCCAAACATGGAGCCCTCACTATTCCCATCATGAAAGAGAGTGCATTAGAGGCATGCATCACCATCAACTTTCATCATTCAAATTAATTAATCCATCAATTTTAACAAGCAATAAAAAATAAAAAATAAAAAAATTTATTTTTTATTTCTTTTCTCCAAACCACTTTCCTTTTATTTATTTTATTTTATCTTCCTTTTTTTTTCGTAACATAAAAAAAAAAAAAAAAAAAAAAAAAAAAAAAAAAAATTCATTCACATGGCATGTATCTTCTTTCCACCGAATACCACCCCATTGTCTGCAGATACACACACACACCCTTGCACTATACCAACCCATTATAATATATTAACATTCACTATCCTAGCCCACAGGTTCCAACCCCCCACTGGTTTTATTTTCTTTTTCCCATACTCATCATCACCATACTTGTCATTCCAAAAAAAAAAAAAAAAAAAAAAAAAAAAAACATTTGCACAACACCCATTTTTTTATTCATCTCCGGGATCAATCCCGATCACAATTTTACATAAAAAAAAATAAAAAAAAAATAAAAAAAAAAAAAACACAACCAAAACAACCAAACCCACAGTGGGATTTTTCTCCGCTACTCTGCCGCCGGTCTCTTCTTTTTGCCTCCGTCCTGGGCGGCCCTTGACGGTGTTGCCTCCGTGCTTCCTAGACCACCAAGCAAGTTTCCTCCTCCCTGCTCCTCCACTACAGCATATGGTGGACCTCCAAATCGGAACATCACGGTGGCCTTCCGCTTCAGCTCCTTGTTTTCTGTCTTTAGCACACTTATCTCTGCTCGCGCATCCTTATACATGCGTTGGAGCAGAGCCAGCTGGGAGTTTAACTGTTGCACCTCATTTGTCCTACTCTGCAGCCGGTTCGACAAATTAGTGACCGCCGTCATGCTTTCCACACATGCCTTCAAAGTATACTGATTGGCCTCCACATCCGACAGCACTGCCATTCTTTGCTCCACAGACCGCATCGGAAAGTTCAACGGAGCAAACTCCGGGGCGCTTGGTTGAGTCATGCAGCATAAAGACCCAGTTATTTCTCTTGTGGACTCGTTCAGTTCTGGAAAAGCGTAAGCAGACCACGGGAAGAGGATGCCATGTTCTGGGTAGCTGGACGGGAAGAAGAGGCCATGTTATGGTTGCTGAGTGTTTCAGAGATGGGTTGGTTACAGAGTGTTTACAGAGTGTTACCAGTGTATCTCTCTCAGCCCACGAAGAGTTTTTCAGAGGTTTCAGACTGGTTTGATTTCCACATGTTCTCTCAGCCTCCGCCTTCATTTATATAGCACATGACGAAGAGGCCGACACGCGCACTGTCGATCACGTGCATCGCCGCGTGTCTGGCGCGCCTTTTGATGGCACGCCTTTTGAAAGATTGGGCACACCTTTTGAGGGTGCGACTTTTTAAGGGTCCGACAAGACTCTGTAAACTGTCCCGACATTGATTCCGGTTAGCTCCTTTATGGGTCCGACAAGACTCTGTAAACTGTCCCGACATTGATTCCGGTTAGCTCCTTCAAGGGTCCGACAAGACTCTGTAAACTGTCCCGACATTGATTCCGGTTAGTTTCTACAAGGGTCCAGCAAGACTCTGTAAACTGTCACAACAACTGTCAGAACATTGTCTGCTACAACGGTCCGACATGACCCCATAAACTGTCTTCTACATCGGTCTGACACCACCATACAGTGTCCTCTACAACGTTATGACACCCCCATACAGTGTCCTCTACAACGTTATGACACCACCATTCCGTGTCTTCACCAATGGTTTGACACGACCATACAGTGTCTCCTATCCTTTTTTATTTTTATGTATTTTCTTGTTTTGTTCCTCTCTTCAAACTCAAGTTGGTTAGTTTCTATCCTCCTTGAGTTTGCGGGGGGCTGTTAGAATTTACCATCACCTACCACCAATTTACCATCACCTACCACCACCTACTCCTCACCTACTACACTCATCCTCTCCTATATAATGAGCCACTCACCATTTGTAATATATATCAATATACATCAATCAATAATATATCAATTTTTACAAATCATATTTAACTTTTTTGCAACAATATTCTCGCAGTGTTCCTCCTTTTCAATAAAGACCAGCGCCAGTTAGTGGACGGTCGATCATGTATCATCATTCTGACTTTTGGATATTATCAGTCATGAAATATTTCTTAGACAGATATATTAGAGTGAAATGGGGAACATTTAGAGATCTACAACTAAACAAGTTTTCTTTGTACACCGGTAAATCAATAGAATCTTCTACTCTTACACTTCAATTCTGGACATCTACTATGCCAATGCCATCCACAACATAATCTTAAGAGGCTACCAAGCGTGTGTGTGTGTGTGTGTGTGTGTGTGTGTGTGTGTGTGTGTGTGTGTGTGTGTGTGTGTGTGAGAGAGAGAGAGAGAGAGAGAGAGAGAGAGAGAGAGATCTCCAATAGTCACCATCAGATCATTCCTAGACCCTGACAGTAAAAGAAAAGTAGGCCAGAAAAACAATATACATATATAATATTCCAGAAGACAGCTTGATGGTGCAATGAAAAGCGACCTATACCTAAGCAATGAACATGGGGGGAAATGTTCCAGGATTTTTGCTGCTACTGAAATATTAGCAGCAAGCATAAATTCCTCAACCATCTGGTTTGCTTCTCGAATTTGATACATCCCTGCAGTCACATATCATGCATTAGGAATTAATATTAATACACAAGTAAAACAAAATAAACCACTAAATCATTAATGGAAAAAAAAGCAAAGTGGAACGAAACCAGAGAACCCAGATAGACATAACTACAGCATGCATCAGATAATTGAGAAACTTCAGCACCTTAATGCAAATTTGGGGGCTGATTTCACTAGGACACTAGACACAAGTATATAAATTTATATTAAAACACTAAACACCAGTTTATATAGGATGATTTGGGCCTTTGAGTCCTGAAGGAATTCTAAAGTGTGCAGAGGAAGGATAACAATGAACAAACAACAATATATTTAATGACAACAATGGCTCCAAGTCTCATTCATCGATTAATCCTACAAATGGTATTGGCTACCTCTTAACAGCTAAACTAATCAACTTTCTTCGTTTAAAAAGGTCAAGTCAACATACCAATATCAAGAGGGTCATGAGTTTCAGTATCAATCTGAAATTTCACTTCAGCGGAGGCAAGAGTCAATGCTCCTCTATCAATACGCCTCTGCCTCATTACCTGCAAAAACAGAGTCCATTCACAATTAGCCAATACTCAATTGAATAAATGACGGTAAGTATCAACCTGAGTATGAATACCTTTGCTAAAACATTCATATTTCTCAAATCTGTAGTTAGCGGATCCATCAAGCGGCTACAATATACATGTACAAAAAAGTCATCAATATGGAAACTGGTAGGCAGGAAGCTTCAAATACAATAAATAAATAAATGCAGATAACCTTAGGGGCAAGAACAGACCCAAAGCGAGTCTAAATGTATAAACTTACACAGGTAACTGGATATCAAAAGGTCAAATGCCCATTATCTTTCTTAATCAAGATTCAAGACTGTTTTTATCTTTTGTTTACAATATCGCTAAGCACCAATGCAACATTCTCAAGCCCCCACAACATAGAAACTAGTAATATGAAGCAATTTGACTGAATTACCAGCTTTATCATTTAGTCAATAAAATGATAATCAAAAGCATGCCCTTTTTCAAACAGTTCCTTTGGGGTTCAATCATTTGTCAGGTCAAAGGTTCAATAAAACTTGTGTACACCTGAATTAACAAGGGTGGCAAGGGTTTCCATACTCATGCAATGACCGCGTAGACACAAGCAACCTACGCATTCATAATACTGGTGGCCATACAGCATATGGGTTGGTCTCAATCGTTGACATCTCTCACTCCAATTCATGTGAAGATTTACACAACTGGGTTGGAATTCCATCTGCCTTGATATATATATATATATATATCTTCTCAAGATATTGAAACTCGGATTCATTGTACACAGGCATCACTGAAGTATGAACAATAAATCAATCAATCCACCATGAAAAATCTGAACACAATTTGTGTCAGAACAAAAATCCTGGTAAGAATTGAATATATCTTGTTTATTATGAATAACCTCGGCCTTCTACTCCCCTTTTGTGCACCATAAGCTAGCACTGACACCTTATCAAGAGCACCATCATTGGCCTTCTCTGGGTTTTCTAAATCTAGATAATTGGTATATCAAATTCTTTGAATGTCATATTACACCTCAAGTATTGCTACTCTGTACTATGCCTTGTTAACTTTTCCATGGTCACAAGCAAAGCTTTAAAATATATGCTGTGTGTTTATAGCTGCATTGAGATAATTTAATCATCTCCAATGAAAAATGGTGGTTGATTCATGTTGTAAGAAAATGATGGCCAAAGATTTAGTGGTAAATATGATCATACTATTGAGACTACATAAAGCTGAACAATATCTTTATCTCATAAGTTTTTTCCTAAGTTAATTAAGGGGTAAGGTATAACAAGAAAAATTAGATATAGCACCTATCATCCATCCTGGCTTGAGCTTCTACATAAGACAATGCTGCACATGACTTGATGACACTTTTTGTGAATCTTGTAGAAATAATCTCCGCTTCAGGTGTCATTTCCTGAAATTCAAATAATATGTCAAAAAAAGGTCCAAAACTTGAATTCACAAATACACATGAACACATACAAACCACCAAGATAGGGAAATAAATATATGTAAACACAAAAACCGATACATAAAAGCATAAATGCCCTTTGGTAAGCATTCCTTTAGCAAGTAATCCGTTGCGTGTTTCTAACACTTAAGGGCTCAATTATGAGCAAATATGATGTCTAAAATCAAAATAAAACTGAGCCAACACCATTCATTGGTACAACTAAAGGAAGTGTAAAGTGTGAAAAAAAGAATGGAAAAGATGCAACATGTGCAAAAACTAATTATGGTGAAAAAGATTAATTAACTAAAGCAAAGATGACTAGTTCCACAGTCTTCCTTATCTGTTGATGAATTTATTCAAAAATGTGGAAGAGCAAAGTGTTATCTAATAAGATCCTCATTTCTCACCAAAATAGAGTAAGAAAAGAAAGAATGCAAGTTTAAACTACAGAATTCGACACTGCTCCTAAAAAGCATTCTAAAATCAAAACAGCCCTTTGTTCCAACAATAGAAAACGTAAATCTCAGGTCAGTTGTTTTTTAACACAAAAATGGACCATAATGATTGGACTAATTGAACACAGGGACCTCTAACATAAGGAAAAAAAATGGCTTCTGCTTTCTGAAGTTTATCAGTATTTGGCAACTATTTAACTTTCTTTCCATTCTAATTTCTAGCTTTTTCTCATCTTTTTCCATCTCAGCTCATCCAGATCAGTTGAACAATTTGACTCACAGACCAACAACCTCAATGAGTTGAGCTCCATTTGAATTGGAAATATTTGCATTACAAGCAATATTTTACAGTTTAATAGACTAAACAGTAAAATGGGTGTACTCACAATTAAAAATGGGAGTGGCCACATAACTATAATTTACCCTAATAAGGGTAAATTACAAATATACCCCCTGAGGTTTGATTAAAATACGAATCGCCCCTTGTGGTTTTGAAAATTACATTCCACCTCCTGAGATTTCTAATAACAAATCTCCCCTTTTATTAATAAATCATCACGTCAATTAACAGTTTTTAATGATGTTAAAAATATGTTTCAATTAATAATTTAGGTAATTTTATTATTATATAGGAGAGCAATTATGAATTTTATTTTTTTAGTTATTTCTGTTAAATAAAAAATTATAATAAGGGGGTATTTGTAATTTTTCAAACCACGGAAGAAAATTTGTATTTTAAGCAAATCTCAGGGAGTGTATTTGTAATTTACCCTAATAATTAATAAGGTATCAAATTGACACCATAATCCACAGATATTGATATTGCAGGTTTGGGTATTGGAGAGAGTATCAAGAACCAGTGTTTTTCAGGTCAATCAGATACATGTGTACTTACAACTCACTAGAAAAAGAAAGCTGAATCATAACAACTAGAGATTCAATCATTACCCAGATAACAGAGAATGCTAGTCTCTCTACATCAGCTCGAAGAGAACAAATATCTGCAATATAAAACTTCCATTGAGTGCACTATCCGAGAGCTACTGTGACAATTAGAAATTTTAAAACTAAGAAACAACTAGCCATAAAATAAATCAGTTGTATGTGCAACCAACAAATTCAACCAAGTTAATGGGAATGAAATATAACCTTCTGTTAAAGGTTTAGGAAGCATGTCAATTCGCCGCTCAACAAGGTACACTGATGTGCCCCTTTGTGTAGCCTCATCATCAAGAGGGGTTCCAGGGTGCACAAAATTTGTAACATCAGCAATATCTATTTAAATGTTATTAAGGATTGACAAAAAAGCTCCATGCCTAACTGATAAAAACTGAGAACCACCTTTAGACAATTGGATGTATTAAGACCAACAATAGCCCTAATCTAAGCAAAATATACAAAAAATTAAAAATTAAAATAAAAAAGATTCTTGGAAAACGTGTAAGATGGCCAACAGAAGAAACTCAAAAGAACAGTAATGAAATCCAAAGGAAAACAAAAGCCCATTTGAGCTCAACAACAAACAGGGAATAAGCATGTGTACACTGAAGAAACCAAGAAGTGAATCAAACCCAAGGTACACAGTTTTTTACAAGTATTCATGCAAAATAGTCAAGACGACAACTAGAAAATTACTATTGCACAAAAAAGTAAAGACTATAAATTGGAGTCTGGATCATTTGCTTATTATCCATTGGCCTGTGGCATATCATATGTGGGTGCTTATTTTTTCTATTTTTGGAGTGGTTTGGGTTCAACAAAGCAGAGGGTGATGGCAGTCCTCTGGAGTTGGGGAGGGGGTCAGGTTGGGAAGCGGCATCAAAAGGCTTGGTCCATGGCCCCATTGTGTTTAATGTGGCTGATTTGGTTGAAACGCAATTTGCATATTTTTCAAGGATGGCTCGTTCTCTTTCATGTTTAGAAAATAGGCTTTTTGTAGTTTTGTATAGCTGGGTTACAGGTATGGTGGATCTGGATTTGTTTGCTTTTTTGAATTTTTTTTTGATGATTTGGTTGGTTAGGTGGTCTCTCCCCTTTGATGGGGCTTTTTTTTCTTCTTTTTTTTTTTTCTTTTATTTAGTGGGGGGGGGGGGTATTTTTTAGCATCATCTTGATGTTGTTAGTAATAAAATTTTATTTATCAAATAAATAAATAAATAAAGACTAAATCATGCATGTATCAAGAATCAGAAGCAAGGATGATGAAAAAATAAGACGATCAAAAAAATTACATCTAAAATTAAGTGCTCATCCTACCAATGCAGCAGTGAGGGGTTCACTAGGTAAAGTCTTAAAAACCTAAGTTGCCTAACCTCCACATTATTTGCATGAAGTGGATGCCCTCAAACCAATGCTCAAACTTGATAGCAAAAGCTTAAAACATTGCAACAACAAAGAAATTCCCCTCTTAATGAATTTTCAATAAATATTATAGGTATTTGTGCCCTACATACATGCCACGTCATCACTTAAGAGGGGTTGGATCATCACAAGGCATGAGACTCACATTCTCACCTAGTCGCAGTGCGTCACTTCATGGCCTCGCCTTGCCTCAACGCCTCTCCTAGCCTCAGCACCTTTCCTAGCCTCAGCACCTTCCCTAGCCTTACCTCGGCTCAAGAATGTCACCCAGAGCTACACAGCTTACCTAGGTAGGGAGTAGGGTCTATGGATCCCTCAGTGCCTCAGCCATGAGACACCCGAGTGACCCATGACTCCATGCTGGATTACCACGAACCTGTAGATTGGTAGTTAAAGTTGAGGGATTAGCAAAATTGCTCAGTCCACCTCTCGAGGTGGCTCCACTTTCACCTGCCTTAGACAAGAAAGAGAGACCTATTTGACTAAGGCATATGATACCTCAAAAGGCGTATGACACCAAACTTTGCCACCCCTTGGCATAACTCTCAAGGATGAGTTGGCCTCCATGGCCCAACTATCCTACAAAAGGTTTCCATCCCATACATGGACATACACACTCATCTGATAACTCAAGGCATACCACACCTACATTTGCCACTCCTTGGCACGACCCTCAAGGATGAGCTGGCCTCCATGGCCCAACTATCCTATAAAAGGTCTCCATCCCCATATGTAGACATACAGAGACACCCTTGAGGAGAGCTCCCTCTCCTACATATCAAGAAAGAAGAAATTGGTAATTAGCAAGATAGGTAATAGTTCAACCAAATTAGTAACAAGCAAGATTTGTTTTTTCTACATAATTAGGAAGATAGATGATAGTTTCCACTAATAGGCAAATCTTCAACATAAATAAGCTTTCAAAGCCAAAAAACAGACTTGAAACATAAACTTCTCCTCCAAGATCATTCTCCCTCGTGTCAGAAGTTCCCTCTTGTCATATATAATCAATTTTGCTGTCATGGTGTTGATATTTTTCATGCTATTAGCTTCCATTAATGAGTTTCACTAATTTCCATGATATTTATAAGGTCAACATACGTGGAAGAACCAAAAGGTCAAAGGATACGAACTCCAACTTCAAAATTTCCATTTGGAAGAGCTGTACAATGTAATGCATCATCAATATCCTTGCAACCTGCAGAAAGAGAAACATAATTATTTGTACAGAGTTTGGTATCTGTCTACACTAAAAAGAATACTATCTGGCCTCATGCAAAACTAAGAGGGTATTAAAACTAAAAGGGTATTAAGAAAGAAAAGGTCTGATAAATCTATAGATCACATACCTGGAGGATCCACGCTAAAGACACGTATATGACGCAAATCCTGCCTAATAGGATTTGCCAGATCTTCACAAGACACAGACCAAGGTAATGGCGGCAAACATGACAAAACTTGAGAAGTAAATGGTCTCGAATCTATATCATTCTCTATCAACACTACCTGCAGCACCCACATAATTGATTACTACATAATCCATAATCTTAAATTGATTCATCAAACTTCATACAGAGCTCCTAAACATAATTTTTGATTACTAAAAAATCTTAAACTGATTCATCAAACTTCTGACAGAGTACCTAAACACAATTACATAAGTGTGAAGAAATAGATTATGGTTATTGAAAGAAGAAACAGATAACTGTCCAACAGGGAAGCAAATGACCTTGGCCTTAACCCACTCACCCCAAAAAAATAAATAAATAAACTGACAGAAAGCCATTACTGCATACCTCACTTTCAGTTTCCCTGTCACCGATTACTCCTATTGTTCGTACATAATGCCCAGAAGGATATCGAGATAAACGATCCCAAGAATCAACGGCAACAATAATTCTTTTGTCCAGAAGATTTCCAAGTTGTCGAGTTTGAATCCGTATCTTTGGAAACCTGCGATCTTTAGAGACAAATAAAGCATGGGCAACACCACCAGTGCCTGCGGGCATAGGCATTGGCTCCAAAGATCCACAATATCTGCATGATATTTTGTAAAATTAAATAACTTCATCCATTTCCAGAAAAGCCAAGGAACACAAGTAACTCTAGCCACAATAATGGCTAAATTCTAGAAGAAAAATATATGCATTATAAAACTAATAATATAGAACCTTTTTTTTTTTTTTTTTTTTTTTGAGCAACAATAATATAGAAAATATAACTATTGTCACCATGAAAGCAGCAACGAAGAAGCAAGCAAGAAAACTATGCATCAAGTTATTTTTATAAGCACATCAAGCTTGAAATAATTTTGACAAGCTCACCAAGCCTGAAATATATGGTATACAAAGGCAGTAAGGGAGTTATGAACCATATGACTGATATGAAATTTCAAAGAATGGAACTAACACACACTTTCTTTGTTTTGGCAAAAGATTTCTGGAATGTTTTTGGCATTTTTTGGTGTTTGGTAAGACAAAAACCAAAAATCAACAAAAATACAGCTTATTTGGGCAGAAAACATTGTTGCCACTACCACCATCACCACTACCGCCACCGCCACCAACACGCCACCGCCACCATTAGTACCACAATTTTGGAGTCACAAACAAACGTAGAAAAATGTTTTCTACACAGAAAACATTTTCTGAAGGTGGTGTTTGGTAACATTGCCTTTCAATGTTTTCTATTTACATAAAACAAGAAACACGTAATGAAAAAATTTCAGGTAGAAACACAAACCATAAACTGCCTAAAGAGATTTCTAACAAATGCCCCATCGCCAAGGTGGAAACATTCTCATAAGCAGCAAATGCAAATGAAGTTATGAGATGTTTGAGCATCAGTTATTGTGTTTTTAAGGGAAGTTGAAATCAGGGAAGAGTAGCATGAGCAGTCAACTGCCTGGTAGACTACCAAAAAGCCTTTTTTTAAGTATTTTGCCAGGCTTAAGTTAAGAGGAAAGTCTTTCAATTTGTGAATGCATTTTACTAAATGAAAAGGGAAAAAGCAAATAGCATGTCAAACTCAAACAAAAGATAACTTAACCAACCCCCAGCCTCGTGAAGAAAGCATAATCGCATTTATCAAGTAATCAAGCCATTTAACTTACGAGTGCCAGTTCCGTTTTATGATACCAACAATACGGCCAGATGGACGAGAAGATACAGTATTTGCACCTCCCGCAGAACCTTGTGCTGGATTTGGAACTCTAGGAGCATCATCAGCACTGCTTGGAACTAGATGAACATCTTCTTCCTCATCCTCTGGAAGATAGTTAAAAAGTTAATGGAAAGTATAATATTTTAAAGCATGCATAGCACACTCCTAATTCACACACATGCAAGCACAAAACACTCTGTCTATGACCAAATTACATCAACCTATGTTTGGATGGCAGGAATCAAAGAGAATGAACGAGAATCTCATTACTATTTATAAAATTACTGTATCAATGTTATTCAAACACTTGGTTTAGTTAGGAATTCTCTTTTGGGAAAATGGAAAAATTTTAAATATTGCAGGCCCATCCACTTTTTTCACTCTTAAATGGTTTTATATTCCTCCAGAAATGTGAGATTACGATAGGAGTAATGGGATCAGATTTTTGATTAGTTTGGAAAGTGATTTCAGCTTGAGTAGGTAATTAGGAATTGTCTTCCCATTCCAAAAAGTGGAATATGATTCCACTTTTTGGCTTAAGACTAGTACATAATTTGTGAATCAAAGGGCAGACACAAACCCACCAGACCATCTGAATTTGATGGGGTCAGAGGAAGAGAAAAGGTAGGAATAGCCTTCCTCTATTAAAACAGGACATTCATTTTTAAGCATCCAACTTCACGCACAAGCACCCCCCACCCCCCCAAAAAAAAAATACGGAAAAAAAATTAAAGAAAAATAGAGGAGGGTGGGGAGAATCAAACATATATCTCATACCCTTATCCAAGTATCAATTGTCTGATAGGTATTTGATTTATTTTGAAGAGCCCATATAACATAGCACAAAGTATACCAGCCAATTCACAACCCAAAATCTCCATGGGCAGTGCATTAAGGGGCTGTTTGGTGCAGCTTATCTGAGTTGCTTATAGCTTTTATGCAAACAGTTGGTATAGCTTCTACTTATAACTTATTAGGCAAAAATAGCTTTAATACGCTGAAAAAAGTTTATTTCTAGAGCTGAGTAAGGGGTGCTTTTGGCTTCTACTTTTGGATTGTCAGTTTTTATCTTACAATAAACAAAACCTAAGAACCATATTGTAGGTAAAAAAAAATTCCAGGAAATGTAATTTCATTGAAAGTATAATTGCATACATACAGGAATGGATAAGCATGGTATGATCATACTTAGGAGGACATTTGATGGTATGGAGGTTCCCTTGTATAGATTGAAGAGTATTCTTAGTTTTTTGAAATTTCATAACTTTCCAACCTTTTCAAATGAAGGTTCAATTACTTAACCCAAAAAAAAAATGGTATGATCATGGGTTCATGGCTGCATCTTTTATATATCCAATAACCATATGGCTGGCACTATCATACCTTCATCAGCTATGGACAATGACTTCTCTTCATGCCATTGATCTTGAGGCAAAAGTTCCACTGCCACTATATCACCATCGAAAGCCCTATTCATGTTTACACGCCCATATATGATTATCTCATCACCAATGCTCTCACTTCCTACATATGCTTCAAAAGGATTGTAACGATTAACACGAAGTTTCCCTTGATGGAAAATACCACAATGCAAGCCAGCAGTAATCTCTGACATGGGTTTATGCTGCACAAAAGGGAGAGCAGGAAAAAAATTTGTAAACTGTCTGAGCATAATTCATGACCACAATTTAGTCAATAACACATGTTACATGATATACAATCATCAGTTGTAAACATGCATTTGCAGCCAAGATTACCTCAGTATAAAGTATTTTCCTCTTTGAAGGTCTCAGATCTTCAACTTCCTCCATGCCTACATCTTCTGAACGAGGCTGAACAAGCAGGTCAAGTAATCCAGGTTGATCAAGTGATTTCACAAATGATTCAACTGAAATAAAAAGGAACTTCATTAGTCTGCCTTGTCCATATAAGATGTCCAATGAGTTCATACCATAATCAACATGTTAACAACAATATAACAGAAGTATTACCCATTACAGATGTGCATGAACTGCTAGGCAGCTTAAAAAAAGTTAGTTATGATGTTTAATCTACCTGTCTCCGCAGAAATTCCCTCTTCAGTGGCCTTCCTCTTGTTCTCCCTGTCATTTGTGATTAGTAAGACCCTACTTGCATCACCAAGATGATTTTTATACCACTGCGCTGCCACCCGAATAGCTGAAACCACGATTTCTTGTCAGGAAATGGAAATCCACAAACGCATGTCATTGCACTAGGAATGAAAATAACCACCAGAATACAGAAAATTGCTCTTATACGTAATTGTATACATAGAAAATCTAAGGCTCATATTTCCAATACTAAAATTTCCCTATTACACTGACACCACACCATCCTATGTAAGTCCACCCTAAAGTATGCCTGCAAGATCAAGTACGCGCAGGTACAAGTATGTGTGTGTATAATAAAGCACAATTTCTGTATTTTCTTACATAACCAACCTGTTAAAATCCACCTACTCTCCACCTACTTCACCCACTTAAACCTACTCCACTAAACCTAACCCACTACACCACTACCACCTCACCTACTCCACTAAACCTAACCCACTACACCACTACCACCTCCACTTCACCTACTCCTTACCTACTACACACTCACCCTCTTCTATATATAGGAATCATAAATCATTGTAATAGAGATCAATATATCAATCAATAATAATACATACAATTTATTCTCTCTCTTTCTCTATACATTATTGTTTATCTTCAGCCTCACAATTGAATTCTGGGCGTTAGGATGGAGCAAAAGACGTGAAATTCTTACTTTGAAGAGGTCTTTTCAAATATTGAAAAAATAAATTCTTTTAACATGACTATTCAATGCATATCATGTCTTCTTAGTGGCACCAGCATTGATAATAAGATCCAAGTGTATGAAGTAATCTACATTTTCTGCAACATTTGCACTATCTTCTCAAATATATCGATTATTAGCAGCATTGTCAGGTCTGCAGAGAGTCAGAGACTGGGAATTGTTACTTTACCAATATAGAACTCAGCAAAGCCTTTTCATAACTTTTTGGCTGATAGAAACGTGTTTCAGTTCATGGGGATATCCAGAAAATAGAGCAACAAGTTCAAAATGTATAATCAATGATTAATGGATCACTACTACCACAAGGTGATTGTGTTACGTGAAAAGGAAATTTTATAGTGAATATGAGAGTCTAGACACCAAGTACCATCTCTTTCATAGCATTGTAACTGGTAGTCATTAAAAATGAATCCAACAAACAAAACATTAGCATAAAGCAAAGAAAAAACCTCTATCATTCCGATCATTTGGACTTTCACCGACCATGGCCTTCACATATGTATCCCTTCAAGAAAAACAAATAACGCACCAAGAATTAGAAGGAGTTTAGTTTGATCTTTTTGTTTCAATACTACTACAGTTGCTGCGGCCTCTACAACTGAATAAATTAAAATAAGGCCAGGCATGCAGTAACAACCATTGGAAACAGGGGCTTAAAAAAAGTAAACTACACTTTTACATAGTAGTCTAAACACTCTGATTGAGTATAAATAAATAACCATATTAATTATTTTAAAAAATGATGAATGGCCTAGCATCCAATGCGTTTATCCAACAAATGGTATAACTCAGACATGATGAAAACTAAAGAAAACCTGCCTGTGATATTCATTGGAAAACACAAAGAACTTCCTTGTAGAATTGCTGCAGAGGGCTCTGATTCTATTATAAACCGAGAGGTTCTTGTTCTTCACCTCTTCCAACACCACTGACAATATGACAACATCATCAATTGCCGGATTCTCGAGCAAGTCAATCTGAGGAACACATGCATTCAAAACCAAATCAAAATTTCAATTACCCACAAAAATAAATATTGATATGTACCATTTTAAAAGTAAACTAAATAAATAAGAAGACGTGAAGAAAAGATACAGAGAAGTCCTGCTTTGAGAGGGAAAGACCTCCTATTGGTTCTATTTGAGAAGAACAAACCCCCAAAACCTCAAAAGAAGCGATTTCAAAATATTCCAGCCTCCTTCATTGATTGATAACGTATTTTAACACAAACCTACAAGACCCACTAACATTACAACACATGAAACCCTAACTGTTAATCTTAATTACTATTTAACTGCTAGTAACCATAATTTATACAGTCTTCCTGAAACACCATGTGGTTATGTGCCTGACCAATGGTGTTTCTTGATTTTCCCCAACTGTTTTTTTTTTTTTGAGCCATGTAAATACATAGTCCCTTGCTATTGGATGGGCACACTGTCAAAGTGGTGATCATGGAAGACTAGATAATTACTCGCTAATAACCACCAAAATGAAATTAAAAACAATTGCATACGTATCATCTACACTATATATAAGGATGAACACCATTTTGGTGTTCCCCCATTTGAAAGAGGTGTTAATATGTTCTCTACCAAAATTGTCTTAAGAAAATTCACTAATATACAATTTAAAGTGCCTTCCTAAGAAGTACATATATGGACATGTGACATGACATAAATATGATACGAACACGCCAACATGACAATTTTTAAAATCTGTAGGGGACACACAAAATATATTTATTTTATCTCATAGATAAAAATGCAAACTAACACGAACTCCTATACATTTACATTTTTTTTTTTTTTTTGGGTCACTATATGCCAAGTCACGTACATGTAAGTGATGGACACATGTGTTGTCCAAGCGTCCAATTCTTCTTTTCTTTTTTTTAATTAGTACACGTTTTGACTAGTGTCGGTGTCCAACACAAACCCGCCACCTTTCTAAAAAAATGTATGTGCTTCTTAGGTGCCTTCTATATTCATTCACTAAAGGAGCAATATAGAAACGAAATAACTCCAATGTTTAGCAATTCCCAGCAACTATCCTCAACCCTCTCTCTCAACAGATTTGATTGTGATATACAGTAGACGCAGAGTGCACACTGCATGCATGCGTCATTATCTTAAATTAGCAGCCTCCCCACTCTCTTCAACCATTTTTCATAATCTCTTAATATATAATGAGCCACTTTTTTCCAAATTCAGATCGAATGATTTGAAAAGGTATAAAATTCCTAATATATCCAAATATTATTGAGAGAGCATGAAAGTTCTTAAATAAAATCATTAACTTGCAGAGAAAAAAAAATATTAACAGGCTTCAACTTGAGGGGAACAGCAAAATGGTGTTCACCCTTTGTATGTTACACTATTTTTATAGCATATTCAATTGTTTTTCCACAGAAAGAAACGCAATCATCAATTCGCCAGCAAAGTTGAGCACAAGAAGGAAGTTCTTCGGTGTCTCTCTCAAAATCTTTCCTTTTTTTTTTTTTCCAATGAATTATTATTCCATTGCACACACATACATACACATGTATTAACATAATGTAAACTGCGTAGAAATCAGAAATCAGAGGCTACCTGATTGAGGACGACGTTGGTGTCAAAAATAAGAATGGTGGGGGCAGAGGAGCTCAAGCGAGCACTTTTAGAATCGCAGACATTGCAAAAAGGGGCTCCGCAGTAGATATCGTCTCTCAGATAGTGTTCTCTAACGACCTGTGTGTGTAAAGGATATCATTTTAAACACTATATAAACTGAACCAATGAAATTGAGAAGGAGAAGAAGATGCAGCAAATTAGGGCTAGGGTTTTAGGAATGGCGGGCACAGACCTTGATAACTTTGCCTTGCTTCGTTTTGCGGACAAAGGACTTGCTCTGCAACATCTTTCTAGACTAATTTGGCTCCGGCGTCGCTTTACCACTCTCCCAATTTCGAAACTTCTGTTGGCCTACCACGGCGAGTATGGGTTATGTATACTTACTTGTATCTGCAGAATTGCCTGTATGCTTATTCCTTCCTTAATTGTCTAGTTATCAGTAATAATCAGTAGTTGTACTGCGTTTCGGCGCCGATAACATGTATACGCTTACGCACCTAGTGGTAGCTTCACCGTCTCGGGCTCGATTCTCTCTGGCGCACGGACACAGGCCCATTGTTTTGATGAGCGGGTGTTGAATTATGCGGGTTTCCGGTCGGGTCGGTTGAGTCCGGGTCTTCAATCAATTCGGATATAAAGACCATTTAGTGGGTTTGTTTTGAATTTTCTAGAGAATTTTTTTATTTTCGTATTCTTTTGTTTTTAGTGTATATTTTTAAAATTTTAAATATATTTTTTTATTTTTTTATATGCACCTTAGTTAAATGTATCTAAAAAGTAAAAAAATTATGAAAAAATATTTTAAAAAATTAAAAAATATAAAAAAATATACTGAATTCTTGTATTTTTTATATTATTGGTATTTAATGAATTTTTAAAAGATTTTTTTTACAATTTTTTTACTTTTTAGGTGTATTTATGTTAGGTGTGTCTAATTTTTTTACAATTTTTTTACTTTTTAGGTGTATTTATGTTAGGTGTGTCTAAAAAGTAAAAAAAATTGCTTAAAATATTAAAAAAATTCAATAAAAATAAAAAATACGAAAAATAAGAATGTAAAATTTTCTAAAAAGTGTTTTTTGAAAAATAAAAATAAGCAAGCTGATTTCTTCCAAGGGTGGTTGTTATGTAGAATATTTGGGCCAATTTTCGCATATCAAATTAAATTTTTATAGTCTGAATAAATTTTTCAAAATAAGTTTTTCTGGTCTCAAGAGTTTTATATTGGTCAACAAATCGAACCAAATCGAACCAAATCGAACCTAAAACATAGAAAAAATAAACCCTTAAACTCAAGCCATTATGCCAATTCCTTAAAAGTTATAAGAGACAAGTTTAGGATTATTACTTCCACCATAAAATCCATTCAAATCAATTGGTCTCTATGTTATAAGAAAAATTTGATGATACACATTTTTTAAAGTGTGTACTAGATGTCCAGTCATGATTTTTGTAATCAAAATTGGTCTGTAGCTCGAAAATTGAAGGGCTCGAAAGGCTTGAAATTAGAAATTTCTCTCTCCTCTCGCTACTTTTCTTTTCTTTTCTTTTTCATCTCATCTCCCATCTCCGCTTGGCAATGAAAACAACTCCATTTTTCTTTTCTTCGTAGCTCGAAAGAAATCATCCATCCGTCTCTCGATATCTTCTCTTTCCTCTCGATATCATCCGTCTCTCCTCTCTATCTCTTCACTCTGGCCTTCAAGGAGTACGAAGGAAGACGCGACGGGGGACAAGGGACGAGGAGACGGTGGACGAACGACGACGGAGAGGACGGAGGACGAACAAAGAACGACGACGGAGGACGGAGGACGAACGACGAACGACGACGGAGGACGAACGGGAGCCTGCGACAGCGAATCTGAGGTACAAATTAAAAATCGCAAAGTTAGGGTTTTACATTTGGCTTCAATTTTTTTAGAACAAAGTCGATTGGGAGTGTTTGGGGTTGGATTTATGATGCAATTTGTGTTAGGGTTTGCGATTTGGCTTTAATTTGTTCAGGAGGTTCCGCTTCTACCACTCTTGTTCTGTGTTGGTTACCTATTGCGTTTTTATAATACTGTATCAAAAATGGACATACAAATTCAGTCATACTCTTTCAACAGCTGTTGAACATGAATTTCAAAAATAGTATAATCCTCATTTTCACTAACATGAATTTCAGAATTTGGGGCCTATGAATTTCAGCTGTTGAACATGAATTTCATACTCTTGTTCTCTGTTAGTTATAATACTGTATCAAAAATAGTATAATCCTCGTTTTCACTAACTACTGTATCAAAAATGGTTATATTCCTTGAACTAAATCTGATTGAGTTGAGTTATTCCTCTAATTTATGAAAATGGCCTCTCCAACAGAGGCAATTAGAGGAAAATGAATTCATGTAACCATCTCCACTTCATGAAGACTATGTCCTGTTGAGTTAGAGTGAAGACTAAAAATAGAGTGAATTCATGTGAATTCATGTTACCATTTCCTAAGTCATTGATACCCAATTTGAAGGAAGGTCAGCTATAATAGAAAAATAAAAGGAATTTTTTGTAGTTATTCTTGAATTTGGAGGCTTGCCATTGAAGAAAACTGCTTGAGAATTGATTTAGCATCTTTGTCTAATTTTAGTGAAGACTAAAAACTGCTTGAGAATTGATTTGGGAATAATGATTCAAGATTTCCAAATTTCCAATAAGCTAAGTTTAACATGTAAAAGTATAAATTCATATGATTGCTCAATGTTTCCTGCTAAAATAGCACATGGTCTTCTAAGATGGTAGATAGTGCCTCAGTTTTAAAACTATTCAATTCTTGAACTTAGAAGTCTTTACTGATTTGTTTGAAGAAGTCTGTTAACCAAATTCATTCAAGATTGTTTGAAGATCCTATGAAATGAAGGACGTGTCTTTTTCGTTTGCCCAACAAAATATGTAAGTATCTAGTATATAAATTAATCTTTTGTTTTTTACAAACTTCATTTGTCATTTATTGATTAACTGCTTCTTCTGCATTGTAGAGTGCGAACGGAAACTGCAATTACTTCAGTTGGGCAGATAATGACGACGTTACGTCCACAATTTGTGCCAATGCTGGACCTCAGACAGATTCAAGTAGTGCAAAAATTAATGATCTAAGGAGAAGGAATGACCTGATGGACATAACAGTGTCTAATATGAATGTATTTTAATTTATTGTATGAAGGAACGACCTGATGGACATAACAGTGTCCACAATTTGTATGAATGTATTTTAATTTTGTTGGTTGAATGAATGTAGGCTCTGTTAACAGTGTCTAATATTTAATAAAAAATTTGGTCTATTGTTTGAACATAACAGGTACTCCAATAGTCTGTGTAACACATGAATGAATGAATGAACTTGTTTGTTTGAACATAACAGGTACTCGAATAATCTGTGTATGAATGAATGAATGAATGAAATTGTTTGCTTGTTTGAACATAACAGGTATGAATGAATGGGCAGATGAATGAATGAACTTGTTTGTTTGTTTGAACTTGTTTGTCTGTTATGAGATGAATAATCTACTAAGTGAACATAACAGGTACTTAAGTGAACAGTTGAACATAGCAGGTTTCTAGCCACTTAAGTGAACAAACAGGTTGGCTCTCTTAAGTGAACATGTTTGGCTCTATTAAGTGAACTTGTTTGGCTCGCTTAGCAGAACATAACAGGTTTTTAGGCACTTGTTATTATGTTAATTTTTTGATCAGCAAAATAGAACTTCATTGAGAAAGAACCAAGGATGAACATACAAATAATCACCCTAACACAAATAATCAGCAGCTTCACTCCACCAGCTACAGCAGCATTAGGAGGCATAAAGCAACTAATGGACATACAAATAATCACCCTAACACATGCCAACAAAACCAGATATCAGCAGCAGCAGAGCAACTTTATTGAATAATGTTTTAGCTACCAGGATAACACATCAGCAGCAGCAGAGCAACACAACATCAGTAGCAGAGCCACACACCAGCAGCACCAGAAGGGAGTGAAATGCAACTAATGGACACACAAATAATCACCCTAACATATTCCATCATAACAACATATCAACAACAGCAGAGCAACTCTATTGAATAATGCAACCAACCAGAACAACACATCAGCAGTAGTAGAGCAACACAGCAGCACCAGAAGGAAGCAAAGGATATACATTGAAGCAAAGGTCTTCATTATTACATGTTTCACACAAACAAACATACACAGGTTCAAAATTTCCAGGTTCACTCATTAATGGTCCATGTTCAACAGCTGAAATTCAACAAATTCACTGAACATACAAAGTCAGTCATACTTTTTCAGTCAACATACACAGGTTATAATTACCACTTCGAAACTAAAAAAAAAATGGATCCCCGTCGATGTTCAAGTCAACAAAATTTGATGGTACTATCGAACTTTGACTGGTAATATTGTTAAGCATTCTAGCTTGAGTATGAGATGTGCTTCCAATGTCGTCCCCAATTGTACTAACTGGTGCCTGTAAAAATAAAGTAAATATTAAAAAAAAAATCCACAAACATATTCACCAATATCAACCGATAACAAACAAAGTGCAATATATTAAGTCTATTCAACACATACCGGTACATACATACTGTCTGCTATGGCATCCATAGAAGGACAATAGTAAGGTTCATTTGGCGGCACCTAATAATGAAATAGTAACACAAGTGAATTAGTAATTTCAAGCAATAAAATTAAAAGCCAAAAATGTTAACACCAAACAACTTTTATATTTAACGTAACGCGTACCGGTTCATACATAGTGTGTTGCACGCCTCCCGTACAAGGAAAGCTTAACTTACGAGGTTCACCTTGACGCACCTTCTGACCCTATAGCACAAGTTCATTGATGAATATTTGAAGTTTAACAAATTCGGCTATATATGTATATGTAGTGCGGAATGAAAAATGTACCGGATTAGCCTTCTTATTTTTTCCCTTCAACCGATTCACTATTGTATCAACCTTGCTAACCTTCCGTTTCGTACATGGACGGCCTCTTCTTCGAGCAACCAAAGGACTGAGCACCTTGCGAGTCATGCTTTCTTTTCTACTATTGATACGAGGCGGACTTTTTGGTGAAGTATGGGAAGGTGGTAAAGTAGTACTCGAAAGTGGTAAAGTACTAGTACATGGCACATTACTCGCACTACTTGATTAAACTGTTCTCACTTCATCCTTGATTTTCATCAACCCAAGTTGAATGACTTTGTGTTTACCCATCATCATTGGTAGCAAGTTCTAGGATCTCATCCAACGTGTTGTGATAGTTATCATGCAACTTTGGATGTAGAGAAGAGCCAAAGTTAGTTTTTGTGGTTGGAATGCATGTGTAGCCTCTTTCCAAGTCTTTTCTCCACCTCAAAACAATGTATTTATTTGGCACCTCATATATGGATTTCTCAATGAGCACACAAAGTGAATGGGCACACATAATACCTCTAAACTCAAACAACCGACACATACATTGGAGCTCACATTCAGTTGAATTAAAATACACAATAAATTCCACTTTCTTCATCCCCTCACCCATAATAACAGCCTCCCTCACATGATAAGTACAAATTGCGCCCTCCTCTTTGATAAGATTTGCACGACAATACACTAGACGCTTCATTTCTAGTTGAACTTCTTTAAATTTTGAATTAGTGTAAGTTGCACGAAATTGCTTCTCCAAACGATACACCGTTAAGCAATCATACAATTTGTTACGAGACTTAAAATCTGCTTTTGTCTCCTTCTCTACCTTACTTCTTAACGCATTGTCATACTGCTCAACAAATTGCTTTAAGGTTGTCTTGGAGTTCACATATCCATCAAAGAATGCATTCATACTCTCACTTCATTGTGTAGTTGACACGCCAACCCAAAATATGTCTTTAACATAGGCAGGAATCTACCTATGTCGCTCATGGTATAATACCCTCAACCACTCGTTATCATTCAAATTGAAATTTTCAATCATTGCTTCCCAGTATTCCTCAAATTCATCTTTTATGAATGAATCATAAACTACATTACTTAAAGCAACCTTGATGGACTCATATTGCGAATATCCTCGCAATTTCTCCGGAATTTTCTTCATAATATGCTATAAACACCAGCGATGCCGACCCTGTGGGAAGACAATTTCTATGGCATTTTGCATAGCTCTGCACTGGTCAGTTATTATCGCTTTTGGGGGCGCATCTGACATACAACTTAACCATTCTTTGAAAAGCCAAACAAATGTCTTCGTGTTCTCATTACTTAACAACCCACAACCAAACAAAATTGATTGACCGTGGTGATTAACTCCTACAAACGGAGCAAACGACATATCATATTTGTTTGTCGAATAGGTTGTGTCAAAAGAGACAACATCCCCAAATACTTTATAAGCCGCCCTACTCCTTGCATCTGCCCAAAACAAGTTTCGCATGCGACCATCTTCATCAAGGTCAATTGCCGAATAGAAGTTTGAATTTTGTTGTTGCATTTTATGAAAATAAAATGTAACTGATTCGGCGTCGCCTACCCCAAGTCTCAATCTTCTAACATTTTGAATATAATTCATTGCATCTTGTTCATCAAACGTTAATGCCTCATATCCCCCGCTTCAACAACTATGGAATGAAAATTCCTAGCCACCCCAATCCCTGCTGCATCGTTAACTTCTAGTCTCCTCTTCACCGGAGTAAGAATCCTCTTATTCATTGGAAAATGCAGTGAGTCACTCGGAATGAAATCATGAGTGTGCTCAAGCACAACCGTGGTTAACTTATATCTTCCATCTTTTTGTAGAGTGGCTCTAACCCTTGCTTTACAATCTATTTTTGATGACAAAGATGGTTCGAGGGGATTTACTTCTAATCTTTTTGTTCTATTTCGCGCCCGAGTACATTCAATTCCAAAGTACTTTACTTGCCCATCCCTCGTTACATTTTGTGTTCTATAAGATATAGCAAATCCAAGTTGTTTCGCATATTTTGCATAAAATGTGTGTACTTCTTGCTTGAAGATAAAACACATCCCCTTCTTCGGTTCTTCAACTTCACCACTCTCATTAAATTCAACATTGTTATCTTGTTCTTCAACTTCCTCACTTACATTGAATGAATTATTCATTGAATCAATATCCATTGTAGCTTCAAAGTAGGTACAGATTCTTCTCAGCAAAGTAAGTGACTTGATGTGGAGTGCCCTTCAATGGAATCTGATTATAGAAAACATAACTTTCAAGTAAATGGATCGCTGCCAAAATGGCAATCTATATAAAAATACCTTGTTATGAGCATTAAAGTATAACAAGATGAAGCCATTGAATTGTAGTTCATAACAAGGAACTTATGAATCTGTTCATTGAATTAATTTATACAATGAGTTATGGTGTTTATAATTTTGTGCATTGAATTGTGGTGTTTATAACATATCATTGAATTTTGTAACAACAATATATTTCATAACAACAGCAATGTGAATTTTGTTAATTTTGTTAAATTTTCATGAAGTTCTTTTTTAATTTTCTTCAACAACAATGTTCCTTAATAGCACCAGATTTCATCAACCGAACATATTTTTCATCAATAATAATGTTCCTTAACAACAGCAGATTTCATCAATACAACATTTTTTTTCATCAACAAAAAACAACCCATTTCCTACCAGTTTAACAGAACATATGGATTTATACTTTGACAAAAGGTGGGAAAAGATGGGTGTGCAAAAAGTGGGAAAAGGTCAAAATTCGGCACGCACATGGATTGAGCAATGTTTCCTACTAGTTTAACATCAAGATTCGGTGGATGATTGCTCAATGTTTCTTACTAGTTTAACATCAAGATCATACCACATTAATTTTTATTTCACTCACCTTTCGACACACACATGCAGTGGCGGCGGCACCTTTCGCACACACAGCGGCAGCAGCCTCGTCAGCGGTACTAGTAGAAGCGGCAGCAGCTTCGTCGGCGGCACCCTTTCGCACACACAACCTTGATCGGCGTCCTCTCTATCACTCTCTATACTGTGTTCTTGTTTTTCTTCTTCTTTTTTTTTGGAAACGAATGTCTGAGTTTGGTAAGAATTACCTGTGTACAAAGAAGAAAAGGTGGGTGTGCAAAGAATGGTCAAAATTCGGGCCTTTCGACCCTTGACCTTTCGAGCTACGAAATGGAACTCTTTTGTAATTTTGCTGTTACTACTTATTGTAGTGTTAGATATGATTTGACAATGATTTATTGTAATGTTAATTACAATATTTTGTAATTTTTATTTTGGTTATGATTGAAGA